GTTTGATATATTCAGTTAACACACCAGGCAGTGTGTGTAATGTTTTCATATTCATTAATTAGTTTAATCGTTATTATAAAAAATATAGTATATAATTCTGCATTTCTTCTCCATATAATCTTTAACTTTGTCCCTTTAATTTATGTAAAAAGACAATTAGATTATTTGTTTAACGCAAGACTTTAATACGTAGTATTATTTTATTTACTTTATAAGAATTATTAATAATTGTATGTATTCGTACTTAAAGTAATTTATTTATATATTGCTTAGATTTAATACAAAAAGTCTACTGCGTGACGAGAATATTAACTATATTAGTTAGTGCTAGAAACCTATACTTAACATGTAAAGAATGGACAAGATGGCCCACTATTAAAGAAATCGACTCTTGGAATAAAAGGAAGATACCACGTTTGTTACAGTCAAAAAACATCGCGAGACACAATACATTTGTGAGACATGACATGCAAAAGCCAAATTTGTCTGGATCGTTCAATTTTTCAATGAGCAAAATGCTACGAAATCAAATGCCAAAAAATGCTGATACGAGTGAAGACGATTGAACATTTTATAGTTATGTCCACTATGTTAGTGCCCTACGTATCATAAAGTCTGATTTGAGATCTATAGAAATAACATATTATCAAAGATTTAATGACTGGTTTTTTTATTTATTTAGTTTAATTAATGATCTTTAAATAAAGATGATTTGATTAATATGTCTTTTTATTATGATAATATCGTTTATTCCCATACAATGCATTAAGATGCCAAACAAATAAAAATATATAGAGAATGTAAAAAAATATCCAATTGAAAACTGGGTATGAGGGACCCACCAGGCTTGTAACTTTTTACCACTAGGCATTCCGAGGGTTAATTATTTCTACTTACAAGATGATTAAGAAGCGTAAAGAAACTATAAAATACGTCAAACTCTTATCCTTGTTCCTACGCTCCTACGAGCATAAACCGACACAAAATCTGACAAATAATAAAAATATCGCGGGCTAGTAAACAAGTATAACTGGTCAAAGCTTATCTATATGGAATAAAATTAAAACAAGTCCTAACGAACTTCAGAATTCCAATATAAATATCTTGAATAAATATATAAATATCTTGATTACCTTTCAGATTACTCTATGTATGCAATCTCTCGAGTAAGATTTCAATTAAGGGCTAAACTCAAAACTGCTGGACCGGTTTTTAAACTCCTTCATTATATAAAGCTACATTATCAGTTAGTAACATAAGCTCTATACTATAACGAGGAAATATTTGATTGTTTGTTTGCAATGAATAGGCTCAGAAACTACTGGACCGATTTTAAAGATTCTTTCACCTACGGGAATCTACAACATACGCAGATGATAGGTTATAATTTATGTAGGCGATGTCGAGGGAAGACAGTTAGTTAAGGCGGCACTAAGCTCACGAGTCAGCTGGTTTCACAGAGAAACTTGTTACAGACAACATACAAACTTAGGGTTCCAAAACGACAGAGACTGGCATATTTACTTAGAATAAGAAGTCTTTGCAAAGCATATTATTTTTGAGTTTTTGATAGAAAAGATTTTGAAACGACATGGAACATACGATTATTTTGCAATATAAAGAGTGCAGCCGCACTTTTAAAATCTTATTCAATGACAAAGTAGAACGACATAATACATTAAATAAACAAGTTGGTGCATTCAATTGATAACACGCGAATCGCTCGTTCATAATTTGCACCATAATGGCTATTAGGCTCGTGTTAATAGAATATAACTTCTAACAAGACGAGACGCCTTGCATGATGTCATCAGGAAGCCTGGAATTGTCGCCGAAACGTCACAGCAGGGCTGCCAGAACGTGTAATTGGACACAAAATATGTAACACCTACTAATGTAAATATTTAAAAGAATTGATTAATAATATGAAGAACAGGCCTGCCTATTATAGACACATACTTATTTCAGTTGATAAGGCATCAGATATTAAATTAAAGTTTACGTAAATGTACTAAAAAAAATACTACAGGCGAGCTATTTAAGTGTTGTGATCATTAACTTTTAGAATTTGAATGTCTAAAATTAAGCTTTATAAATTATAGATTGCAAATAAATCATCATAATTTCATCAATCATTCAAAATAATCAATAGAAATAAATAAATTATACTTATTTTTGATTACAATTAAATATTTTTCTTCACATTTTAATTGTAAGATTCGGAATTGTATGATTTCAGTCACCTAGTAGTAGTAAAAGTTCGCTCTCCTGACATCCCTGCGCTACAGTTACCACGCTGATGTCACCGTGTATGAACGGATCAAAATTTACAAGAGATAAAAAGAGTCAGGGACGATATTGTAAGGTCGATCAATTGTAGTAACGTACGCTTCAATTGCTATACGCTTCAATTCTTGATATTTTTTGGTTTGCAGAGAGGTGGTAGACCGGAGTGTCTTCAATAAAAGAAGAATATAACGAAGCCACCTCTTTAAAAAAAAAGATGCATGACGGTGAATTTTAATGAGAACCACTGAAGTCAGCAGAATGAAAAAATGTTCATAAATCGCTCATAACCTCGTTGTTTAAAAACTTGGTTTCGAAAACTGCATTAGTGTCAGTGCATATCTAACGGAAGAAACATCAATCGCCACACTGCAGCATATATATTGTATGCTAATCTTAGACTCGGGCCGATCGAGATCTGCTCGGGCATATCAAAATATGCCGCCATTTCTTGATTTGGTCATTTATCACCCGTCATATCATCAAATGCTTAAAGTTTGACTATTTGCACGACTATAGTTAATCTAATCGACTTTGTAGGGTGATTAAACTACTATGTAAGCAAAGGCGGGCAACAACCCGGGTTTCTTTCTAGCGGTTGGTAGGTATGTAAGTAAATAAAATGAAGTTTAATAATTATTTGACTGGTAAATAAAAAAAAAACAGTTATAATAATGTTTACTAAGAAGTCCTCAGCATTTTAAAACTATTTCAAACTGAAATAAAATCAAACTACAATCTGAATTATAACACAACCAGTGACGCGAAATGGAACTATAATACGATGCGCCCTGCCATATTACGATATGCCCAAGACGACATATATGTTGTTCTAATCGATTTGCCAAACTTTTAACCGGGATATCGTGATATCCTTGGCCAAATCAAGATATGGCAGTATATAACGATATACTTTTGGTACCATCCACCACCATATATAACGATATATCCGGGCAGTTTCAACGATCGGCCCAAGACATGTATATGAACACGTCGGAATTTCCGTCGAATTTGCAAGTTTCTAGTTCTGTATGATGTTCCACCAATGATACGCGACACATCTTCCGTCTGATTCATTTCAAAAGAATATTAAAAAAAATGTTTTTCTATCAACAAATATAGTTCGCCGAAATACTCAGTCGTCCTGCCGCTATGTGGGGAGCGGGGATAAGAAAACAAAAGAAATACCACTCGACCGCACCAACGGCAATGCACGCACGACACGCAATGGATTTTCTGTAGCTTTATATCAATCTGGTACAACGCTGCACTACATCCACTCACTCCATCAGATACAGATACTTCATTCACAAACTAATGACAATGTATTAGCCAGTCAGCAATAGAATTGTTATAAATGCCAATGGATGGTACCAAAAGTGGACGCTATGCTTAACTCATTTGTTTATTGGCTAAAGAAAATTAATTGCGTGTCGTACGTGCGTGCGGAGCAGTCAACATTTACCTATAAAATAGTCGCCCATTTCATTTGCATTACATATTTGCGTCGATACATAGCAGTGAAAAATGGCCTGGTTGGCTGTTCTTTTTCAGACATGATAACCCAAACAATATTAATCCCTCGCTGCATATCCCTCCTGAATGGAATGTGCTGAAAAAGGTGTGCGAGCATAATCATCAGAATTTTAATATCACATGTTGTAAGACTATATGCCCACTAATGATTTTTTGTCATTGTGATTGTTTCTATAGACATGCTCCTGCATTTTCAAGTGTCCATTTCATAAAAGTTAACTGAAAGAATTTATTTTTTATTGATAAGGTCACCAATTGTATCCTATTATATAATCTACCTATATTTTTGTCTATAACTATAATGTACACATATAGAATATTTCATTTATTCATTCAAAATACGAATACTATAGTAGGAAAGAATATTAGAGAAAGTTATGAAGAATTCTTCTTTATTACTGATATTGTAGAGAGGGAGAATAATAGTATGGTAGAGGTCAGCATGCAAATAAATAAAGAACTTTACATCTTTTCTTAACTATTATAACATAAGGTTCAGCAAACATTTGCCTAGTTGATACTTAGATAAAAAAAAATATTTTGTTCATCAAAATCAGAATTATTAACAATCAGCACATTACAAATAGTTACCAATGTATTTATCAGAATGCATTCACTATCAGATACTTGGTTCTTCTCAATACCTTGTTAAATATTAGTTACAGGTTATCCTGCTAGATAATATATTTTGATTAGTATTTTAATGATAGTGTGTGAATTTTTCAAAATTGGTCAATTAATTTTCATTATCATATCTTTATGTTATATTTATATTATCACATTTTACAAAAGTCCATAATTATTTATTGCAGTCTATTAGGGAGTTTTAAAGGTAATGGAACAGTTTAATGGAGTTTTTACCACAAAACATAACTGAAATCTTAACAAACTTGTCTTATATACATTACTTGAGGGCGAGTTGGACTCGATACTTCATTGTACTTACATTGCCTACTTATCAATCAAAAGTGGGACGATCGCCGCCGCGCCCTAGGGGCCCCGCCCGCGCCCCCCGTACTCACATTCCAATAAGAATAAAAAGCTTTTTTAGAACACAAACAGCCGTAACCGACCCTCAAGCCTATTTTCTATCCGTTACATTCGTGAAAATCAGTATTCGATAAACATTATGATGATTCAGTTAAGTTCAAATAAATATTCTAAGCAAACGTTCTTACCTGTTAATCAGCAAGATCCCATTAAATGGGAAGGAATAGGCCCAAGAACAATTTCACACAATGGGTACCGCTTTCAGCACGTAAACACTGTGGCACTAACAGGAGAACTGTTAAAACACTGTCACCGGAGACCGAAAGAGCCAACTTTACACTGTTTCACACTTTTATTGATGAGTTTTAAAAGTAGTCAATCTGAACACAGGTGAACTAGTAAGGATTTCATTCATTGGAAGGAGAAATCATTCGAGACAAGCAGTTGTCGACCATTCCATGCGAAGTACTATGAGAGCAAACGACAAGTAGCAGAGAGCGCGCGCGTCGTCATCCGCCATATTTTAACCGATTACGTCATCGAGACAGTAACAACTTTTTTTTATTGGTAGCCTTGAGTATCAATGATTTCAGACTAAGTTTGTTGTCTGTAGTGGAAACTATTTTATTTTCCACTACAGTAACAACAGTACCTATTTATAATATTCTAAATACAATATTATCAGTAATCGAGAGTTGACTCCGGAAATAAATACTGTTTTGCTCTCGTACCGTAGCATGATTTTATCTACATCTAAATGGTTCAATCGAGTGTACCATTTCACATGACACTCTTGAGTTGAGTTTCGACCTTAAAAAGTAGCCTCTTGGCTTGGAACTATTAATTAATACTTTTTTCAAAAGGCCATTAAATTAAAAAAAATGTAAATGTCAATATACAATAGAGGTGGGGTACTTTGATTTCATTATTTAAGTATTGTTTCATGCTATTACAAATAATAACATGTAACATAACATTGTAACAATAAATGAAAAATATTGCACTGCCTGGTGCGACTTTAATATGCCTTTTTCGTCTTTTTTATTTAGCTCAGTTTATCAGCTATTATAGAAATTTGCAAGTGACTGAATGTTTAGTCGAAATCCTCCTTTTTGATACAGTTTAAAAAATAAAAAATGGCATCAAAATGTAAAACTATTATTTATCGCGTTAATACCCGTCTTCTACAATCTAATATAATACAATGCAAAAATTTAAGTGTATATGAAAAAAGGCATACTAATCTCACTGATTCACACCAAAAACTCTACATATAACTAATATTGTAACTGTCCAACCACACGTGTTAAATGATAAGTTTATGAGTGGGGCATTCAATTTATTCGAAAAGTGGACAAAATTCTAATTGAGTTGATAAGTAGTCAACTTAATTGTAACTTACTAATGGTTATATTAACCAATATACTCGAATTAGAATGATATAGTTGGAATGCTATTATTAGTAATCCATTAACAGTTCTTACTTCATTCGAGTTATTGTATATTTAGTATAATTAATTCTCTCATCCACAGATTATACGAGTGTTAAAATCATATTAAAATTTTACTTACTTCTGAATATGTATAACCACTCATAACTCTAAATAAATCACCCTTAGTAAGGATAAGTATCCCTTGTAATGGTTGTATTTTCCTGACAGTTGGAAGAAAGCTCAAATAGTTTCTGTATGAAAAAAGACACTGACTGTCAAAAGTTCTTTCTTTCTTTCTTCTTTCTTTCTTAATGAAATGAGAGACATTAGATATATTTAATTTTAGAGAAATTAGGTTTGCTCATTGGGTAAATCGTAATAGCAGTTGCTATTTTAGTCAATCATAAAAAGTAACAACAAAACTATAACAATCGAAACAACAAAAACATGAAAAGAAATGTGGGGGATCTCAATACAATCCAACTCAATAAGAGTACTCGTAAACCAGTATCTATTTGTTAAAGGTACTAATTTTTGAACTCAATTACGTCAACAAAATGCCGCACTGACTATTGCACCTATAGTAATTTGCGGGGATTATAACATAGTATTTTAGTTCTATTCGTTGATATACGTTTATTAAAAGTTTTATTTAGCTTCGAAATATACTCACCTCTAATGGCACTTCGCATTTTGACAGTCAATCTGATGTGCCCTGTCAAATCGATAAATTGATATTGTTCAGTTTTCTATTTATTTGTTCACTAAATTAGAGTTTTAATTATTAACGTATGAAGTGATTGCTCATTTCTGCATCGAATTGCATCATTTCTTGATCCCTTTTGGTCAACCAAATTCATTTCTAATAGTATAGTTGAAAATGCAAGGTAACATGCTAATTATACAAGCATTTTGTGTAAAGGGTGTGTTGTGTTGTGATTCATTTCTGATAGATTGTTTTTTTTTTTTAGATACACGACCTGAATTGTACGAGGAAGTTAAACTTCACAGAAATGCCAGGGAACGTGAAAAGTAAGTTATAGAATTCACATAAATCTTATCAGTAATTAAGTAAACTTGCCCACTGATTTTCTCCAAATGAAATCTAGCCAAATATTTTTACGGTAATAATTACTTCAGATGGCAGGCTTATAGCTAAATAAACCTTGACTATTTATTCATAATATTATATTCAGACATGATAATATGGCGGAACTGTATGCAGTAGTGAGCACCTTACAGCATCTAGAGAAAGCATATATGAGGGACTGTGTAAGAGCACAAGAGTATACTGCAGCATGCAGTCGTCTACTTGTTCAATACAAGGTCGCCTTCAAACAAGTGTCGGGGGATGAGTTTCCTACCATTGAGTCATTTGTTACAAAATACAGAGTAAGTATTGTTTAACTCAATTACCCATCATTAACCAATTAATTAACCATCATTAACCTCTTTACCACTTCTTAAGTGTAATAAAAGCATTATACAATCGGATTACTCTATGAAATGAAACAGGGAGAAAAGTACCTTATTTTCGTTACTTCTTCCCGCAAAAGTTCAACTTTGTACACACAATGGTCCACTGCAACAAGAACACTTCCCAGACATTCTAATTAGATATAAAATATGTGTTACAGTTAGATTGCCCGGCTGCGTTAGAGAGGATAAGAGAAAACAAACCAAATTTGATAAAGGATGATAAAGGAAACACAAATAAATATATTGCAGAAATTGTTTCCGTAAGTATATTATCAATATTATATCCATGTAGAGAAAGATATTAGATTTGGAATCATTTCATTGAATTATTGTCATCATCTGTTTACAAAAGGCTAGGTGACAATATATTTTTATTTTATAAATAAATGATTCATTTATATCTGAGACATAATGTAGATGTAACAGCATGTCTGCAATAATAGTTTCAGAGATACAGTGCTATGTCTTAACAAACATAGCACTGTAACGCTGAAACTATTGCTAATCGGCTGAAAACCCTCCCTAAAAATTCAAACCACTAAGTGATGTCACATAGTGCTACAGTAGCAAAAAAAGTATGGGTGTCTGGGCAAACTTTGTTATTTATGTTTATAGCTGTTATCATGAAAGTTGTTATGTTTTATGTAAATAACTTAATGTCATGTATTTGAGCAAATTTCAGTAACATATTTTTGCTCCTTTTGTCAAGATATCAAAGCGTAATATTTTCTGATTTAGTGTCATAAAATCTGTTTTATTAAATGTTTAAGTTAAATGATTCATATTTTCAGAATATATGACAGAAACTTTTATTTTACTTTTGGGACCTATTATTATTTCTAAGTTTAGAGCAAAATGTCTTCATTTTCACTCACATTTATTTGTTTGCTACTTTAAACTCAATTCTAATTTTTATTACATTTATGTGATTGGAAGATATTTTGTACCATAACTTTGTTTATTACATTAAATGTGTGTTTTAATATCCCAGTTGTTCATAACATTGATGGACAAGTTGAGGCTGGAGTTTCGTGCGATGGACATGATTCAGCCAGAGTTGAGGGACCTGCGTGATACCATGGATCGTCTACTGATGCTGCCTGAGGACTTCGAGGGCAAAATTAAGGTATGTTCTTACCCAACTACCTATGTATTACATATCATGTCATTTACAGTTATCAAATAAATGTTAACTCGAAAGTATGTATTACGAGTATTTACTAAGCATAGAAAACACTGAGATGAGACAAATGAATATCGACTGGCCATACAAGAATAGATTTTTTTTCTTTTTACCCTGTTTATTTGCCAAGAATTGAAAACAATCTGGCGAAAAGTCCGAGTCGGACTCAGGCATGAAGGGCTCCTTACTGGAAATGACCAAAAATCACTTTTGTTGTATGGGAGCCCCTTTAAATATTTATTTACAACAGCTACAGAAATACATCAGCTGTGAAGATTTCAATTGTCTAACTTTCACGGTATCCAACCTAGTGAGGGACAGACAGACAGCTAAGTCTTAGTAGTGTGCCCGTTTTACCCCTTTGCGTACGGAACCCTAAAAAGGAATATTTTAACTCATTTCAAGTTGCTGATAAAAATTTAATAGACGAAAGCATCAAACTTTCGCACTTGACATTATGTACGTAACTTGTACTACATAAAATAAGCGCCAGCAGCTATTTTAAGACGTATTTTAGTATTAATTTATAAACGCTATATAAGACGAGACGACGACTACTGAAAGTCAACAGTCAATAGTGTACTCTATAATTTTTTGGATGTTATCAGTTATTGCAATGATTGTTCAGGTGCAAGAGTGGGTGGACAGGTTGTCCGGTATGTCTGCATCAGACGAGTTGTCCGAGACACAGGTGAGGCAGTTACTGTTTGACCTGGAAACATCGTACGGCGCCTTCAATAAATTCCTGCACAAAGACTAAGTACAGGTAACCTTTGTTCTTTGTTCTTTGACTTCACACATTTCTCTAAATTATATTATAAACATTTTTTTACATGTAGCTGATTCGTCCGGTTTCAAGGTGTTGCCATGTCTGAGGTCTCGGATTCGATTTCCGGTCGGGTAAATCTAGAAATTGGACTTTTCTGTATTGTCTCGTGTCTGGGTATTGTGGTATCATTGTCTCACTTACACCATGATTTTAGGCTTTAGTTACTCATCTTTGAATCTTAGCAATGTATGTGATGTTGTCTAATATTTATTAATATTGCTTATTAAAAATATAGTTTTTTAAACATATTTAATGTGTTCAAAAATTTGCAGGTGGTCATGTTATATTGAAAATGTTTGAAGTCCAATTCCCATACTAAAACTCTTCGTTCCAAATCTAATCGTTTACTGATCTGTCCATCTGAAAGATCTGACATCATTCACTCTTCGTTCTTTGTTAAGGCTATCCTTCTATGGAATGAGTTCTCCTTAGAAATCCGAATATCCACCAGTAAATTCATTTTTAGGAAAAGGTTACGTGACAATTTTTCGAAAAAACTGGATTCGTTGATTCGTAAGTTTTTATCGTATATTTATTATATGTATGTGTATAGTATATGTAGGTTATGTTCGCTTATCGATATATATGTATTTGTTATAGATATTACATATTATAAGTTTATATGTATCTGCTTATTTGGCGAGAAATCTTAATTCCTTAGTTTTCATTGTGCACCTTACCGCCATCGGTTTCCCCATAGCACGCTAAGGTTGACTGTGAGAATGCCTAAGGCATATAGTCCGCCGATGTACACTTTTCTGTGCATGAAGAATTAAATAAATAAATACCCTCGTAAAGGTATTAAAGATAGAGTAGGAAAGATAAGCAGATAGAAATAGAGAATGGAAGCATCCTATTTGTCTTACATAGTAATGCCGTTAGTACACCGAAGCAAAAACATGCGAAAGCAAAACACCAAAAAATCTGTCAGTTGTATGGCAATATTTCGCATGTGCTGTCTCGTTCTGTTATAAGCGCGACGTAATAGCTGCGTCCTTGTCAGTACCGTAAATTTGATTAATAAATAGGTAAATTATAAATAAATGTATTTATTTACGCATAAATATGGAAAGTTCAAGATGTTACAATTTATTTTCTAGTTAACAGACATAGATACCAGAAACTGTTACGCAGAAGAAATTATAATTATACATTTGTAAAAGCAAGGGACCGCCAGTATTTTTAAGATTGTAAAAATTGGTCTACAAAATACCATATTTTTTTAAGTCACACATTGTAACGGTGCGTCATACTACCGTTTATTTCGTCCTAGGTGTCAGTTTTCAAACTTTTTGTCTTTGATCTTCAACATCATTTCTTTTTATTATTCATCTTTCGTAATTTGAAATTTTGAATAAGCTAATATGCACTTTATGAATCAGTTCAGTTCGTAAAAAATTCATCCGGCGAGAACATGATAATTTAATAATATTTTTATATTTAAACATATATATCCAATATAAATTATTATTATTTATATAAGACACATGTAAACGTATATCTTTATGAAATGTTTACTAAGTTCTACCTATAATGGAAAACCCAGATACGGTTCCTTTGGGTTATTAATAAATCAAGTTCTTAATCTTAGTCAGCATTTTATTCATTTATCTAAGCATCGAACCCGTCACAATATAACTCGAATGCATGATGAAAGAATTTCCCCATATTTTAATACCGTATATTAATATCGTGTCTAAGTGTCCATAGTAAGCCATAAGAGCAGTTTCTTTATTTAAAATTTTAACAAGCTTGCACAAGGCGTATGTAAAAGGATATAAATGATAATATTGCTAAGCTAGTGGACTAGTGGATTTGCACTTTTGAAATCAATTTTGTTTCGCATGCAACTGTGGAATACGTCCTTACACAGACGTAGATCTTTCGCAAGTGGTGATTACTAACAGAAATGTACTAACGGCACCGAATTCGAATTCACTTAGGTGTGCGAAGTCACTTCGTAAGCGACATCTGCTTAACCTTGAATTCGTATTAACGTTTCGTGGTATAACTGAAGCGAATTTTGAAATGACATTGATAGATGTTTGAGACGCATAGATAGATGTATGAATCAATCAATCTTGTTTTGTATTTTTATACAAATCATATCAATAGAATTAACGGATGTGCTTTCAAAGTGAATTCGAATTCGGTTTTTAACGGAATTACTCTGCTGTTCTGTATGTACATACATGTCTGTGTAAATCCAAGTTAAATATTGATTATAAATTTTTATTTCCAGGTACTTTGGCTCAAAAGTGTTGTGTCCAACGTTTATATTGTTTATCTAACATATAATATATTGTATCATATGATGTAAGTTACTCAATTTAATTAATATTAATTATTGTAATATACAACTTTAAAAATTTCACATTGTAGACTTTTATTTCTAGTGGTCTCGGCGAAACATCATATTTTAATAAAGTGGTACTCAATAGTGTTTTGAGATTATGTACTGTCAACAGCACGTTAGGCCATTTGATTTTAAAACTTGTACATTGTCAATAGAGTCCAATCAATTGCAAAAAAACAGGTGGTGGTAACTGGATATGCGGCCGTGTGTATAGCAGAATTAGTTCTCAGAACAACGCTTAAAGTTTATGTAGGCATCTAAATTATTGTAAACTCCCAATATATTTGATACAGATACTTATTTATATTTGATAAATTTTGTATTCATTGCTTTATCTCTTTCAAGAATAATGCATTAAAAATTCATTAGTCCCAAGTACCACGAGATGCATGTTAACTGCATCTCGAGGCTATACAAAATTCAAATTTCTCCAGTTGATTTTATACCTTACACATAAGAAAAGAGTGCAAAATCAATTAAAGAAATTTGACATATTGTGGTTATCTGCCATACCTGGGACTGGTGATTTTTTATTTATTACAATGATTAGCCGTCGTTAATTAATTACGTAATGAAATATTGATTTGGCAGATTTGATCTTCTAATTAGGACCCCTCCTTCTCCAGTTTAAGAAAAATAAGAAAGTGACGGTACCCCCCCCCTACCCCATCTTACATGATAAATTGTGTCATTCTGAAATAGGCCCCTTCGGGCTATGCTGCACCAATGGACCACAGAAGCAGGTCAGATTACCACAATATATCGGAGCTCCTCGATTTTAATCTTATACAGTTGTATAACTGCTGTATGTTTTTTTGCAAGATTATTTCATGCAACTGTAACTTTATTAACATTAGGTACATATAGTTACAACAATACTTATGTAAAACTTTTCGTAAGACTTCATCATATTTTTATTGACTTGCGCAAACAGCAATAATAATTAAAAATTTTACTGACACATTAAAGTTTAAGGCAGATTCGATTAGCTTGTAGATAAACTATATTGAAGTAACAGTAAAAGAGTATTTATTCTACAGTGACAGTTCATATTAAACAGTAAAATTACATCATATCTGAATAGTATTATTAAAAAAAAATAAAAAGAAAATATCAAGTATTAGTTACACATTTCTTTACTTTTGTTGTTTTTACTGAAATGGGGTTATTAGCAAGGCTATGTGTTTTGTGTGTGATGATATTGTCTCTGGTGTATTTGCAAGAGGTAAAGGAGTTTATACCTTATATCTATTTTTTATGAATTTATTATTGATTAAATAAATAAGAACTATAAGAATATATCATTTGGATTGCTATGATTTCAAGGTAGGAATGAGGTAGACGATTAAAGCACGAAATGACGCATCGTTAAAGCAACAGTGGCGGACTTAGGCCCGGGGACAAATATGGCGGATAATCCGCCGCGTATCGGTTACGTAACGTCAGAATTGACAATACAAGAAAAATGTAATCAGTGTACACAATAGCATTTTCTCTCTTTTTTACCTACTAAGATGTAAGAAGAAAAAAGTTTTGATGAACCATCACTAAGCTGCAGGATATTGAAACGATGATCAAATTTAAATATTTCTGATCCTGTTAATGTTTAAGGTTTACGCTGAGTCAAATATTTTATTGAAGAACGTAAACTTTGGTAAATAAGTAATAATAATCAATTTACTCCCAAACTCATATATTTAATTCAAATAATCAAGTGTCATTCAATGTGCCAGCTAATTCACAATAAGCGAGATAATAGTGATGTGTGTAGTAGTCGATACTTTTCTCACTTACAGTAATATCGTTGAAAACACTCATTCAAATCACTTAATTTTTAGTGCACAAAAAACCTGTTCGAAACCATAGATAACAAATACCATTTAGTAAAGGAAGCGTACAAGATTGCCAAAGACCTGTTCAACCAAGGCCGCATTAATTACAACAGACTGAAGACTAAATCCCTGCACACCGTGGACACCTTCTTGGATCTCGTAAATATAATGAACTCGGAGATGGCAACGGAGTTGAGAAGTGCGGTAATTAAGTTCTATAAAATCAAGTACTTCCATGACTTCACTAATTACGTCATTTCTTTGGAAGAGGTGAGTGTTTTATAATAGGTAGTCTCATTTCAACTAGTTATCCCTACACAAAATTTGTGTTGGGCTTATAAAAAAAAATATTAATGTACCTACTAAAATAAAATTGAATGTTTTCGAACAATGCTCGTTAATTTTTGACTTCATTTTGGGTCGCGTACTGCGATGTTAAGAAACTTTGATCTTCAATATAGTATTAAGACCTGATTTTGGTCATTTCAAGACCTTCGACGAATTATACTTTGACACGTCACAGTTGTTAATGGTATTAATTTTACCATAATGCAAAATTTTAAAAATCGTTCACATAAAGGGTATGTTCCGATATACACTGCGACCACTGAACAGTGTGACGTCAATTTAGTATACTGGAAGCCCGTTCCTTTATAGCTAGTTATACTGGTGACTTTTTAAAACGGAACGCAGTCCAGTATACTGTTAATCCTATTTTTGGCGCCATTTTCAAATTTGTTAATGCAAGGTGAATATAAATATAAAGATTCCCTCTCTTCAAAAGAAAATATTATAAAATTGGAAAATTGTATAAAAAAAATATTTATCAATCAAATCCATCTTATAATAAACGTAAGTATTTTATTTTATCTGTTTCGACTGATCACGTGGTCAAAAGCACTGCGAGCACTGCACCTCGAAATCTCCAGTGCTCACAGTACAAATATGGCGGCAATTCATGACGTCATAAATTTCCCTACGGTACTGTAGCAGTATACTGGCAGTCCATAACGGAACGGATTTTTCAGCAGTAAGACCACTGCGCAGTGCTCGCAGTGTATATCGGAACATACCCAAAGAAATATATTTGTCTATGCGTTCGTTAGAACTGGTTAGAACGCCATAGTGCCAGATAGCCAAAAGGGTGGCAAATTTGATCAGATTGATAAAGACTTGATTAATTGCATAAGTATCGAGTATGCAGAAATAGGGATGATGCCGGGGTAAAAAAAAAACAATATTATTTAGTCAGTCAGTCAGATAGTAGAACTTTATTTTCATTGCTTCAATATAACAAGAAATGGCTTAGTTAATTGGCATTAAAGTTTAGCAGAAGGGCTCGTTGCGTCAGAACTTTGTAGAAAATGTACAAAGGTGTGATGTGATCATGTGTTATTGGAACTAAATGTATTGCCGTAATTTATTGATTACGTAAAAATAAACGGACAAACAATCATCATCATCAAAATAGTTGTATACTATGTTCAAATTAAAAGTTAACTTGAATGAACCCTAATGAAAATGGCTTTCCCCGCTTTGACATTTGACACTAGATGATAGAAATAACTGAGCACTGTCTGCTGGATCCGACGGAGAAGCTGGTGCAAATCCGTGACCAGTTCCACCACGTGATCAGGAACTTCGAGGACGTGCGTCGATTCGACACAGTCAACAAGTGCCACAGAGAGTTACCGGATGAAGTGGCCGCCGCCCACTGTATACTTCACCAAGCTGTGCTGTAAGTAATTATTTTTTTTTTTAGTTTAGGGTGGACATTTTAAAATTAGTGACGATATACTCGGTGGAATGGAACGACCGACACTCCCGAGGTTCCTGGAGAGTACTATTTGTCTTTAATATGATGTAAAAAAAAATATATGTCTAGGTCAAATAGTTTCGGAGATATTAAATTAAAATTTTTTTGGAAAAGTTAGTGTTTTCAACCCTGAGTCAGCTGTTTTTGGGACGTACTAAGGAAAAGATTTTAATCGGTCATTGACTTCTTCGTTTCTAAAAACGAAATAAACTAGTTTGTGATTTATAAGACCGCTTTCATGCAAATTCTACCAAACAATCAATAAACAAGGCAGTCAAAATGCTTAAATTGATTTACAGACTAACAGCCGGTTTCTGATTTTACAAAAGTAGAAAATCTCTACTGCTTATTCTCAATAATCTGAGTTTTTTTTATTTCACAAGTCAAATAGTCCTAGTTTTATCAAACTGCTATCAACTGATCATCAAAAAACTAAAATCATCATCTTTGCCGAACCGGTAAACTGATAAGTGTCAGCTGTTACGAGCTCCTACTCAAATTATCGCAAAAGTGCATATTCTGTGTTTTTTCTATCACAATTTTATTCTTAACATCATATAAAGACATATTACTATCGTCGCGTGCATATAAGTGAAATTGTCTGGTGTTATTATCTAAACCATCGATGCGACTTTGTAACATCTTCGAGTGACATCTACCTACTACAATTTTATGCAAGAAGCCCCTGCAGGGGAATTCGACGTCTAAGCCCGTTGCATGTGTACAGTGTTAAGTGCGACATTTGCGTGCGTTGTACGTCCACACACTCATCGCTCCGTGTATTTGTCATCGGGCAAAGATCAAGCATCGTAGATACGCCATCCGTATTGATGTTACAGGGAAGTAATAACTACTCAGCAAATTATTTTGAACACGAATATTTTATAATTTCTTTATCAACAATGAATTGTATAGCATGTAAGAACAAGGTAAGCCGCAGTGAAGTTTTGGTTTGTATTGGTTGCAAGGGACACTACCATTACAAGTGCCTAAATATGAATCAGCAAACCTATGCAGTCGTCAAGGTTAATTGGTTGTGTCCGAATTGCACAAGTGTATCGAGGCGCCCCAAGGGAGACGAAACACCCACCCGACGGCAGTTCGAACAGCCACAAATGGATGCCGATATGTCCTGCGATGAGCTGAATACTCAACTTTTGGTGTGCTCAACCAGTCCCTTGCCCGTTACCGAACCTAGCATATCGGAGGTCCTTAAAGAAATAAGAGCGTTTCGAAGCGACTTCTCTTCAATGAATTCGAGCATCCAGGCCGTGACTACCGCAATACAAGAATTGAATAAGAAGTTCAGCGAAATGGAAACCCGATTTAGTAGTATCGAGGACAGAATAACTGAAACGGAGAGAAAAGCCTCTATTATACCGCAGATGAAGGTGGAGCTGGATCTCGCGAAACAAAAAATTACAACACTCGAACTAGAGAATCATAAACGAGATCAATATGCCCGTATGAACAATATAGAGATTTCTGGTATCCCTATCGGAGCCGGCGAGAACCTCCAAACCTTATTACATGTCATCAGCAATAAGGTCGGATATGCGCTAGATGATCGAGATATAGACGGCATTGTACGTGTTAAACGTTTCGAAGCTGGTGAAGTGTCTTCATCCGCCGAGTCAAGTGGTCCGCGTCCTCCTGCAATCGTTGTAAAATTTACACGCCGTCTCGCTAAAGACAAATTATTGGCTGCTGTGCGCTCGCGACGAGGTCTCACCACCACCGATATTAACCTTTCAGGCCCTAAACAAAATATTTATGTGTCTGATCACCTAACCCCTCAAAATAAGCTTTTATTAAAACGAGCCCGACAACTAAAGACAAGTCTAGGATACTCTTATCTATGGATAAGAGACTGTAAAATTTTAATGCGAAAGAATGAGAGATCCAAGGTCGAGATAATAAGTAATGAGTCTTGTCTATCAAAATTGAAATGACTAAATTGTTACAAAAAATGCTTTAATTCATATTTGACCCGTCTCTTTTACGTAGCCTTTACAAACTTCTATTATAAACAACAGGTTGTTCAAAGTCTAAACATTGCGACGTCAGATGTGGCGAACTTGTTTATACAAAATCTTCAGTATCTCTCAAATTATTTGATTATTTGCTGCTTTTCGCGATATGTATCTCTCTCAAACTTTAAAATCAAAGCGAATAACACTATATCATTACAATATTGTATGTATAATTTGTTTAACTCACATTAATGGGGCCTACAAAAAAAACATTATTATGCTATTACCAGAACGTAAGGGGCTTGCGAACAAAATCGCACGATTTTCTGTCACAGTTGACTGCATCTGACTACGATTTGGTATGTTTAACGGAAAGCTGGCTAACTCCTGATTTCTATGACGGAGAATATTTCGATAGCAGGTATGCCGTATTTAGGTGTGACCGCTCGCAAGTTGAGAGCGGCGCTAGGCGCGGTGGCGGCGTCGCAGTCGCGGTGCGCACTAACCTAAGACCGCTGCGCAGAGACTGGCAAATCCCGCCGCGCGCCTTCTCTGACTGTGTATGGGTATCTATACCGTTGAATGCAAATAGTAGCAAACACATAAACATTGCGTGTGTTTACATACCGCACGGTCCCGGTTATCGCGATGCGTTGGAATCGTTTTTCACTTTATCAAGTGAAATCTTGAATGACCGTCCAAACGATGATTATTTGTTAATTGGCGATTTTAATATTTCAAATGCGGTATGGAAGGACAGTCATACTCACTGTAAAATGCTTCAAAACGGTGGTGACATACCGGTCGGAATGCTGAGAGACTTTTTGGCTTATACAGGTGTACAGCAATACAATGGAATTTCAAATGCTAGCGATCGAATCCTGGACTTGGTGTTGAGTAACGTTGAGTGCAGTGTCGTCAGTTGTGTCCGTCCTTTGACTCAGGAAGATTCACATCACAAATCTATAGAATTTAGTATTGATATCAATGACTTCACTAGGTTAAGGTCAACGGCAATTCATAGTTACAATTTCTTTAAGGCAGATTATCAGTCAATTAATTACGAGCTCAATAAAATAAATTGGAAACAATTTTTTGACAAATTAAACACACAAGAATGTGTTACTAAGTTTTACTCACTATTAAACAATTTAATAACTAAATATGTCCCTTATAAAATGATCAAATCTAATGCAGCTTGTCCCATATGGTTCACTAAACCACTTAAAAAGCTATTAAATGAAAAAAGAAAATACTTTAAGCTATGGAAACTGTACGGAAATCCATTAGATTATCAAACTTTTCAATTATTAAGAAAAAGAGCGAAGCATATGGAGAATGAGTGCTATAAAAATTATGTAAACTATTCAGAAAATAAAATTAGATCTTTTCCGAAATATTTTTGGACCTTTGTAAAGGCTATTAAACGCAAAAATACAATACCAGACTTTATGAATTATAAGGGACGGAGCAGTAATAATGGTAGGGAGATTTGTGATTTGTTTAGTGAACATTTTCACTCTGTTTTTGTTAGTGGCGGGGATGAGATTGTCTCGACAGAATTTACGAACTCACCATTGAGTGCATTATTTGACATTGCCACCATAGACTTATCTTTCACTTCACTAAATAAATATCTGAAAAATATTAATATTAACAAGGGAGCCGGCCCGGATAGCATTCATCCACTACTCATTCAAAAGTGTGCCGACACATTGACTGATCCCTTATTGTATATCTTCAATCTGTCTTTCAGTACCGGTGTCGTACCACATGAATGGAAACGCGCACTGATAACACCAATACCTAAAGGTTCCGTTAGTAATGATGTGGTCGACTACCGACCCATTTCAAAGCTGTGTCAATTTGGAAAAATACAAGAAAAAATTGTCACTGACCAGCTACTTGATACTGTCAAACGTATGATTGCACCAACACAGCATGGTTTTTGTAAGAAGCGTGGTGTAGAGAGCAATCTGCTGAGCTTTACGGAAATCTTATTGGAGGCAATGGATGGTAATGCTCAAGTTGATGTTATTTATACAGACTTTGCTAAATGTTTCGATAAAATCTGCCATAATACTCTACTAACTAAACTTTGGCAGCTTGGAATTCACGGAGATTTGTTCCGCTGGATAAAATCGTACATACTAAATCGTAGTCAGGCTGTAGTTTTGCCAGGTTATACTTCTACATACAAGGACGTAACATCGGGAGTTCCGCAAGGCTCACATTTGGGCCCATTACTATTTCTTTTATATGTTAATGACATCACAAAACTCATGAAGGATTCCCATATACTCCTTTATGCTGATGATACCAAAATTTTTAGAGTAATACGAGAAGCACAAGATTCTGTACTACTACAGAATGACCTTAATAAATTCGAAATTTTTTGTAATACAAATAACCTGTTTCTGAATGCTGATAAGTGTCATATAATTACATTTACTAGAAAAAAACAGCCAATAAAATTCTCGTATAAATTGTGCGGAAAGATTCTTGATCGTGTTACAGAAGTGAGGGATCTGGGAGTGGTAATGGACTCCAAACTGACATTTGTACCACACATTGATAGAGTTGTAAATAAATCTTTTAAATTATTAGGCTTTATCTTGCGTATGGGTAAACCTTTTCAAAATTCTTCCACATATAAGTTACTATATAACAGTTATGTACGTAGCAGACTTGAATTCGCAAGCCCTGTCTGGAATCCCCGTCAACGCATACATCAGGATAAAATCGAAAGGGTGCAACGGAAATTTATTAAATCATTAGACTACAGGACAAATAATCAACACATAAACTATGAGACCTCTCTCGTCTTTCATAATATAATGTCTTTGAAGCAGCGTAGGGATCTCATAGATATAAACTACTTGTATAAACTCTTACATGATATGGTCGATGCACCTTTTCTTCTGGAAAAATTATCTTTTCGGGTACCCAGGAAACAGGAGAGAGCAAATCGTAAAAAGGCATTATTCGCTTACAAAGCAAGTAAAACTAACTATGGAGGTAACAATTACATAAAAAGAGCTTGTACACTATACGATGATACATTCAGTGAAATTGATATTTTTGAGACATCCATAGTTAAATTCAAGCGCCACATCGTAGATCGCTTGAAATGTTTGGACGTGTAGAATAGACCAATTACTAAATTCACTATTAAGTAGACATAAAAAGAATTGCAACCGCTGTAATATCAAATTACGTATACCTTCTGTAAAATATGTATATCTTATACTAATTTTGATGCCGCCGTTGTTTCTCCTTGGTGCTGCCTCTATCTCCCTGGACTGCATTATGTCAGACCTGCAAACAATTTTTTGTATATACTACCTATATACCTATATCATGATGCTCATGTTTTATATGGTATAAACTATTAATTTCATTCATAGCCGTGAAAGCATTTACCTTGAGTTTTCCGTCTATACTGCTTATAGTCTTGGAGGCTGAAGGCAGCATCAGTCCCTTTGCTGGATCACGGAGGCTTTGTTTAAATTTCCACTGACACAAAAGCGCAGTATAAAGCACATATTTGTAATCATTTCCCATAGGAGCCATGATGATAACCTATAATGCAAATGAGGAGAATTGTTTGAATATCTTTATAATTACATAATTATAACAAGTCACTACTTATTCTTTGAATATATTTATTAATGATAATCATAATTTTAAAACATAAAAATTGTTCCTCATAATTCAGAAATTAATAATTAAATAAATGCGTTTAGTTTATAATTACCTAATCTTACACAGAGGGTCCGTCCTTGATTATTTCGTACATTGTATTTGTTACCTATAATGCATTTACTATTATGCAACGATCACTGTCTTATATATTCGATTTTCCCTTAGTTGCTTCTCATGGCTTCCAGCATGTAGAAAACCAACTCACTTTCGCTTTGAATGTTTTTTATAAAATTTGTTGTCACTTGGCGTGTATATGTTACGACCTCTGATTGACTGTGCGATGCGGCTGCTCCTCGGACGGCCTGTCGCGTACTGGCATACCGACTACTGTTCTGACTGTTCGAGACACTAGCTGCGTGCGAATGGGGAACATTTAGGTATAGTTGCGCCAGGTTATAGTGGCATAGCAACACTTTTTATTAATTGCTATAGGCCTGAATGTTTTTCATATCTGTATAAACATGCACTTACATAAATATGTTTTGTTCTTGTTTACCGGTCCGTAATGTTAAGTTAAGTACATATGTATGGAACTATAGGTTTATATGTTGTTATGTTTATTTTGCTCATATATGTTTTGTTGTAACTGTTTGTTCCTGAATAAATAATAAAAAAAAAAAAAAAAAAAAAAAAAAAATCGGAAACGAAAACTAAGTGGTGTTAGTTTGAGACGTTTAACTTTAAATTCTTAATTCAGAAATCGAATGTAACATTTCCTGAATTATTGTAGAGAGATCAGTCTAACATTAAACTACGTTATTTTAAAAGAGGAGTTCTCAAAAAAAATTGTTTTTTTAAAAATTAAAATTTGGTTATTTACTTTTATATAGGAAAAAAAAACCAGAAGTGTTGTCATGGATTTCTCCGCAAGAAAGAAAGTACCGCAACGACATCTAGTTTGATTTCGGGAACTAATGTTTTTGACGTGGATACGTCTATGTTTTCGTTCTACAGGGGGGTCATTCTGTGAGCAGGAGTATATGCACTAACGCCATCTATTGGCGTATAACTGCACTATGCTTGCTCTGCAGGGGGAGGGGCATTCTGTCAGCAGGAGTATATGCACTAACGCCATCTGTTGGCGCTAGTGAATACTTTTTTCATTCAACAAATGAACGCAACGAATATTTATTTATTTAGTGTTTAGTGTCTTCAATTTTTTTTTTTTTTAATTATTCATTTATAAATGCAATTATGCCACAACGTTGCATAATTCCGGGTTGTTTTGGAGAAGCGAATCGTTCAGTTTTTAGAGTGCCAAAGAATATTGATAGACGTGAAGAGTGGTTAAAAGCTATTCGTGATGTGTTTCCTAACCTGGATGTTGGTGAAAATTTTTATGTTTGTGAAAAACATTTTAAAGAAGCAGATTTTACGGCATATATAATTGACAAATCTGGAAAAATTATTCAAAAGGTATCATTATAATATACAATACAATAAATATAATACAATAAATAAATAAAAATTAGCTTTATGCCATACGTATGCATATGTACACATCCATCTACGAACACGTAAATGTAGCTTTATATGCGTTAGCAATAAAATGTAAAATATTTTTGAGTGAATTTGCTAAACTTTAAATAAAAATAAATAAATTCGTGCAAATTCAAGTAAAGGACATCGTCGAAAATGGCCCCAACATGAACAAGCATCAATATTTTACAATAAATCGCCGACATCTTTACTGTCATGTCGTACATGAAGCTGTTAAGGATGTTCTACTTGTAATGTATATAATAATCGATAACTTGATTACACTTTAATTTTTACACTACGGACGATTTTTTATCAATTACTCATATATCCATTCATACATAGACGTATCCACGCATAAAATATGGCTGTATCAATGATACAGCCAACCAGGGTTTTTTTTAAATACTTCTTCATTGGGTTTAAATTTCAATGAGGAAGTATTTAAAAAAAAACACTAGTTCCCGAAATCAAACTAGATGTCGCTACGGTACGTTCTTGATTTCTCCATGACAACCTTTCCGGTTTTCTTTCATGTTTAAAAGTAAATTAGTTTTCAAAACTCAATAAACAACTCATATTCTGTTTGTACTTTTTTGTATTTGTAATGATATCTAAGTTTCGAACTTTTCAAATTTCAGTTTTTTAATATATTAGTTAAAAGGAACGAAAATGACTGTCTTTGGTCCATCGTTTCCTGCAAAAATCAACTTTTGCTAGAGCCGCCATCTAGTGGAGATGCTTTTTTAGTGCTTTCGTTTTTTTTTAAATAATTCCTCATTAAGTACAGTTATACTTTTATCTACGTTTTAAACTATTTTATTCTTTGGGACCATCGGTGATTGCCACAAATATCTAATGCAAATTATTTGTGGCAATCGCCGATGTACAAATAACAAAAACAAATTGCCGGTGTACAAATTGGGTCCTATGCATGTCTCTATGCTGTAGCACTCACAACGTAGAAAACTTTAAGCTCCTGTCTATCGACCGAAGACTTACATTGGTTGTAGGAAACTCTCGCAACTAAAGATGCTATTGACTCTTGAAAATAATTAATCTATTAATGGGTCTATATCCATGAAATATATGCCTTATTTTTTAATGAATATAAATTCCGTCACTATAGATTCAATGAAACAATGCAAGAAAGTCTCGTCACAATAGTAGAAATCAAAACAAGACAGCACGCTCAAGACATGAATAGCTCCTTATACAATGTGCAGAAATGTCTTCGGGACTTTGTGCCGCAGTTCTTTGAACAGTTACTTCTAGACGCTTACACCGACAAGTGCGGCTATTTGAGGGTCGTGAACGCTTCCATAGACGACTTAGTCAGGGATAAATGGAGGAGTAACGAGACACTGTTCTCAGAGAAGTGGAGTCCACTTGTGAAAATCCTAAAGGAAAGGTAATATCATTAGTACTTCCAAACTTCAGTATCGTTATCATAAGACCATTGGCACCACTTTGAGACATGGGCGTACCCAGCATTAACTTAACGGTGGCGCAAAAGTAACGAAACTTCATAAATTATATGAATTTTAAATACTTTTAATATGAGAAAACTTTAACCTCCACAATCGCGGACCTACCACTGTGAACTTCACCCCGCCCCTGTTTATATAAATATTGACTGAAATCATGAAATTCCATATACAATCCAAGTAACACATTATCAATAAACATATATTGTCAAAATGTACAGTTCGAAAATTTAAGTAACTTCTAATGAGGAAGTATTTAAAGAAAAAAAAATTAGTTCCCGAAACAAACTAGATGTCACTACAGTACTTTCTTGATTTCTCCATGACAACCCTTCCGGTTTTCTTTCATGTATAAAAGTAAATTAATATTCAAAACTCAATACACAACTCATATTCTATTTGTAAATTTTCGTATTTGTATTGATATGTAAGTTTCGAATTTTGTAAATTTCAGTTTTTTAATATGTTAGTTAAAAGGAACGGAAATGACTATCTTTGGTCCAATCGTTTCGTGTAAAAATCAACTTTTGCTAGAGTCGCCGTCTAGCGGAGGTGCTTTTTTAGTGCTTTATTTTTTTCTTAAATACTTCCTCATTAAAAATATGATTTTGTTTATGACATTATTATACTGCAGACAATTACAATCATTAATAATTTATGATGCCATCTCATCTATTGTTATTAATTTTTTACAGATCAAAGACACCAAGAATCAAAGACCCACTGTTCCTCACCCTATTCGCAGCAAATTTATCATCATTAGACATTTTTAAAACACTATACTGATACTTTGTTATTAGCTAGGCTTAGTTGTTATATAAACATATGTATAGTCGGACAAGGATTTTTATGAACGCCCTATATATACAAGATTAACCAAATAAATAGTTGCTTTCATAAAAATTTTCTTCTTAATGTTATAAATGCATTATAACAATTGCATTATAACAAATATGCATTATAATAACAATTACACATTTTTTATTTATTATCATAATGTTTTTGCCGTTGCGTTTATAACCTTGTCATATTATACAACCCGATCAAAGTAACTTTCGTATCTTTCGTCAATATATGTAAAATAAAATTACAGGAAAAATAGTAATAATCTTCATGGTGGTGAATACTTGAATATCATGTGCGATTGATAGAATACAGAAATACAAAGAAAATCCCGATCGTTACCTAAATTATACCTATAGCAGGACATCATATTAATATGTTGAATGAATTCAATATTTAAGTGTAATTACTTTTGTAGCATATGTATGTATCATAAGTTTTTTTACGGAATAAAATATTTGAGTTTTTTATATTTTTTTATTATTACAAAACTACATTATATTCTATAAAGTATCAATAAAAGAAGTCAGATCTATTAAAAAATAACTGAAATTATCAGAATTAAATAACAGCATTTTTTCTTTAAATTACTTGATATGTATAAAATTTGTCTAAAGCTACAATAGGGGTGTAGACAATTTTGTTTTATATTTTAATTTTATAGTTATACATGAAATACATCTAAATATATATATACATAAAATATATCACTCATATAATTAGTTAAAATCTAAAAATAAATTTTATTGTCAAATTTTCCAGCGAGTATGATATTGATTTTTCATAATTAATTTAAGCAATATAATAAGTATAAAAGTGTGATTATCGCTAAGGATATAAATATTAAATAGTACCAGAAAATAATGTATTTCTTTTCGTTTCAAGTCAAAAGAACTCATGTATCAAAAAACTAAATAAAATTTAATAAAGTTTAACAACTAACAACTTAATTAAATAATCCTTTTTTTTTTCGAAAAACTGCTTAATAATTTCTTTGAATTTCCGGTCCTAACCCGTCCACCGTGGCTCCACCGGTGTCCGGCCCGATCACAGCCCTGGAAAGGGTGCTATCAGGCCTCATCACCGGTTCCGTTATTCCACTTTGCGCGGCCCCAGTTATGGCATGTATGGTGTCTGGTCCAGGTATCCAAGATCAGGGCCACAGAGGCAGTCCCCTCACAGGAAAGGCCTCAGCTGCACACACTGCGCAGCGCATTGGCCGTTGACACCGGATAACAAATATATGTAACGGGCCCACAGCAATCTGTTCCAAAGGGCATCCCCCTTACAGAGATAGCGGACCTCAGCTCCTTAGCATCCACCGCATCATCCAGGTCAGTTATTCGCATGTCAATGCGTTAAACTGTCCTTGATACCTCAATCCCATTACCGAGAACCCTCCTCAACTCACACGCAAGTTTATCTGCTTAGTCCTCTCTTTTGCCCCCGGAACCATCAACAACAAAGCCCATGAGACATACCTCCCCATCCTAATCCCAACAATTCCCAATTCCTGGAGCAGTATGGACAGGTTTGTACTATCCAAATTTTTTATACCCCCCACCTTATTATCCTCATCAGGGGGATGGAAATCATTATTTATTTATTAATTTTGTTAGAAAACCAACAGCTTTTTCTAACACTAGATTACACTTAGGATATTTCATAAAGCTAAGCTAATAACAGGTTTTCCTTAAATTATATCAATTGTAGTTGTGTCGTTGATCATAAAAGTTGAAAACAAGCAATCGTTGAGTGAGGAGATCAATTTTTAATTTTGATTTTCCGTAACAGTACATTTTACCACACGATATAATAAAATATACTATACACATATCATACATAATATTGTCACTAAATAAATTATTTAAATATATAAACACATTATATTCCAAATTTCATAAATATTCTTGCATGTGCTATTAGTAAAACTATTCATTCTGTCTTCTTTAATAAATTTACAATTTCTTCCTTGAACTTCTGCTAATTGTGAACAAAGATATCAACACTATTAAATTTTACATCATATAACCGAACAATACGTGCTAGAACTGAATTCTTAGAGTAATTGCTGTGGCATAAGGGTACATGGAATAAAGAAGATAATTATAACGGTTGTTTTTATCTCTCTTACTTTTACCCTCCCTTTCTATTTGTGGATGGGAGGCGACTTCTGTACTATTGGCACAGGTGCCTGTACCATTGGCACAGGTGTCTCTTTCACCCCAAGCCTAAGGAAGGGTCCTTATGCTCTCTCCTGACTTTATCCTCATTCTTCCTATTCTCAACAACCTATGCCCAAGAGGGCTGCCGAGTAACATCAGGAGTCTGTTGGGAAGGTAGACCCCTCCTTTTCAGCACTATCCGAATCCTTAGGTTCAGAGGGCTCTGTTTGGCACCTAGCATCAATCCCTTGACCGCGCCCTGCGACTAAACTCCAGCATTACAGCCCCCTTGAGACACTTGCTGGACCCACGCATTTGAGCAGTTTTTCCGCAACACACATTAGACCCTCTACATTCTTGCGAGCCTCATGCTGCATCCCTACATCCGAACAGCTCTCGCGAAGCCTCAAGCTCATCAACCCTTTCCTCCAACTCCGAGTTTATCCATGTCGAGGTATTTTCTCCTTTCCCTTATTCCAATCAACTGCCTCTCAGTTTCAAGAAGAAAAGTCTGTAAGTTTCCCATATGTACAACCATGCTATAGAGGTTATCCTTAAGTAGACCGCCCTCGTACAACCCGAACTTACAAGCCTCTTTCAAGTCGTTTTTTCCTTTTTACCTCTCAAATTGAGTCCAATACTCCACATCCCTCTTTTCAGCTTTCTTGGCGAAACTGTCAGCGTAATTGCTACAAGACTCCGCCCACTCCATCAACTCGGCTATCATACTATCCAAAGTATCCAGATCACAACGTAAACTGTTCTGGAACTCCTTCATTTCATGGTCATCCATAACACAATCCTCATTCGCCGAACCTCCTCCAACAGCCTCTTTCAACTCCCTCACGTCATCATCCAATTTGGACTCCCTCGCAACATCAGTTTTTAAATTATTCAATTTAGCTCCCATAGTTAATTCCACGAGTAACATAGCAAATAAGGTCCACTCAAACAGAGGTTTGATGTTTGAGTAATCCAAGGATTGTGAAGGCGGGGTTGGCCGTTGCCCGCCTGCAGAGGCCATGTAGCGATGGCCACTCCTCCCCTCGCCCACGGATAATTTTGTACCTTTTGTAAGACAACGTGTTCTGTATCCTGAAAGGCGACAAACCGGAGATTGAGCAGTTCCTTACACACGTCGATAATATCCATCCGAATCTCAAGTTTACCTATGAGTTAGAGAGTGATAAAACGTTACCCTTTCTGGACGTTAAAGTCATAGCGCAAGCTGATGGGCCCTGAAATACACTGTCGTGTGTTTCAGGGCCCATCAGCTTGCGCCTGTAGACATACAGGAAACCAACACACACAGACAAGTACCTCCACGCTTCATCTCATCATCATCCTCAACACCTACGTTGTGTGGAGACAACTCTTATTAACAGGGCTAACGCATTATGTAATACTGTCTTCTTAGCAGATGAGTTGTCCCATGTACAGGACGTGCTAAGGAAAAATGGATACAGCTCAAGGAGGTCATACCCTATCCGAAGATGTAAGGAAAGACTACCTAAGGTTCCCAGGCAACGGGCATTTTGAGGCTATGTTAAGGGGGTAACGGACAAAATTGGTTCCATTTTGAGGAAAAATGTTTCTATAGACACCATTTTTACTCCTTTATCAAAAATGTCACACCTGGCGTTTATAAAATTGACTGCAGCTGCGGTAGTTCATATATCGGACAAACGAAGCGGACTATCGCCGAACGTGTAAGAGAACACATAGCAGCGGTCAAAAATCGTCAAGTGGAGAAGTTCGCGATTGCAGAGCACTTATTATTATCATCTGGATCAAACCACTGGATCGAGTTACATACACCTCATGTCCTTTCCACTGAACGACATTACTATCCAAGGATTGTTCGTGAAGCGGTTGAAATCAAAAAACACAACAATTTCAACCGGGAAAGTGGATATAAACTCTCACCAACGTGGAATCCGGTTATAAAAATGTGTAAGTGTCGCGATCGCAAACAACCACGAACAATATTCTCGGATACCGTAAGTGCAGTGTGTCGCCACCTTTACGTACAATAAAATCAAGTGTAAGGTGCATCTGAAAATCTGTTAAAAACGTTATTACCGGATTACCCTCACGCCTCAACTAAAATCAGAAGACGACACCCGCCAGTTCTCCAGTCTCCTCGTGACCACGGCTGCTGCAACGTAGCCGAAACGTCGAGGTAAATAAATAGTTTTAAAAAATGCACGAACAAGACCCGATTACATATAATTATTATTTTTACTACGTTAGATAAAATTGGAATCGGAAAATCCTAAATTTTGAAAAAAGATCGACATTTCGACGTTCTTTTGGATGTTGTACTAAATAAAATGACCGACACTACGAACCTCAGAATTATAACCGTCAGACATTTGTGTCATTCAATAATGATTCTTCTTCTTCTTCTTCTTTTATTAATGGCTTATCTGCGCATTTCACACAATTCTGCCAATGTCAAGTGAATAAATTTATTTCTACATGTAAAATGAAAATGAAACGAATGAAAGATGGCGATGATCCAAAAACCAATAATGATTGTTTTCGCGTTTCATTTCACTTGACAGTTTCATGCTTTTTTATTCCCAAAATAGAGCGCTTGTATTCTAATTAATGTTTTAAGGGGTTTTGTAATCAAGGGGTAAAACGAACCCCTATTATTAAGTATGAATCTTTATATAAAGTATTTCACATAAGATACATTTCTGTTCCCAATATATGAATAAATAGTAAAAAACAAAATAAATATCTTCTTTGTATTAATGTTTTTGCTCGATA